TGTACCTATGTGCTTAAAGGGGATTGATAAAAATAATTCACTTGAATTAATGCAAATAATGCTTTAATAGTGCTTGAGTTTGGGGAAGATACTTACCTAGATAATCTGACATAGCCACTCTGCTTGGCCTTGCATGCTGTTGACACACTAATGTAGCATACACAGAGATAACAAAATGAAGCCATTTATTAACTCATGTTTGTTGTTTTGTTATTCCTTTGGCTCATCTCCTGATATTATTCCCTACACATTTGCTTTCATCTAATCTGAGGTGCTTATTCTAGTAGTTTCACATTAAAAGCAATGATTTTTCTTTTTTATAAAAATGAATTGCTAAGAGGGGCCAAGTAATTTATTTATTGCTGAATTTTTCTTAAAAAATTTGTTCTCTCAAAGTGGCATATAGAAATATTACTTGAAAAAACTGGGATTGGGGAGGGTAGCTTAGTGGTAGAACACTTGCCTAGTATGTACAAGGAAGGCTATGGGTTCAGTCCCCAATGCTGCTTAACTAATTATTTTAAGAAAAAAGGAAAAAACGACTGAGAGCCAATGACAGTAGTTAAGATGATACCGCCATCTGCATTACAAAATTACCCTCTGCCTTTTGTGTCCTTCTGGTTGAAATGCTCTTTCCTCCTTACTATGCGGTTGCTACTCATGTGTCAAGAACTATTATGGTATTGTGTAGAAAGCAAAGCTTTGAAGTCAAATGGAATACCAGTTTCATCAATGATTAATTCCAGTCCCTTTGCCTATAATTACAGAGACCTGAGGAAAGTGACTTACTTTCAGTGTTCACATCTGTAAAACTAACATCTTATATGCCCACTTCACGTGGATAATGCTTGTTATAAAGTAGCAGACTCAGACAGAAAGTGCTCCCTACTAGATCAACTGGCCCCATGCTGCCCCTGCTGTGCCCTCAGTGCCATGTTCTCTTCCTTTAGTGGTAATTGTCAGCTGAATAAAAGGAAGACATCAGCCAACTCTCAGGAAGGAAGGCACATTGCTTCACCTTTCCCTTCCTGCACTCTAAACTTGGTGCCCTTGCAGGAGCTCACAGCCCAGAGTGCTTCCTCAATAAGAGGGTCTCTTACACCCTAGGGGAATTTACTAATACTGCAGGGTTGAAAATTAGTAGTTGGGCATACTTGCACAGCTGAATTCCCAGGAACTTGGAAGATTAAGGCAGGGGAATCTCAAGTTTCAATAATCTCAAATCTCAACAATTTAGTGAGACTGTCTCAAAATAAAAAAAAAAAATAAAAAGGGCTGAGGATGTAGTTTGGTGGTAAAGCAAACCCCTGGGTTCAAATCTCAGTACTGAAAAAAGTTATTGAGGATTAATGAGCTCATACTATGAACAAGAACTCTAAACTGTCTACCAAACATTAATTTAATTACAAATAGGTACCCGATTTATAAATCTGTACCCCAAAACTATAAAAAGATATAAATTATCTGTTACTCCTTTCTAAGGAAATTGTGCAAATATTTAATAACAAGTATGACAAAGTGAATCATCTCTGCTAAGGACTGGAAGTGTTTTCTTCCTGTCTTGTCTAAGTTAAGTTTTGCTGATTGTTTACCATATACCTCCCTCTCCTATCTGGTTCCCTCAGGAATTCCTAATATTGTCTGTTAATGTCTGTTCCTATTTACTTCCAAACCTGAAAATGTCTTCTTACTTTGTGTGTTCTACACCCTGGTGTATTAGCCATCCACATATTTTATATCTTGCTCTTAAGAAGGGAGTGGGTAGCATAGTCATCCCCATTGTTAGGAGAGGAGAACACATCCTTTGGTGGGCATCAACATGGATGCCATTACACCACAAGTACCCCACCAAAGGGCTGTGGCTGAAGAATATTCAACTTTACACCCTCAAGAGCTTACTGGCTATAGTAGCAATGCTGCATTATGCTGTAGTTAATTTGGGTTCGTCTGGGTTCATCTGTCTTCTTTCTCTACCATACTCCCAGAATCAGCAACCGTTCTTTATTCAGCCTCAGCACTTAGCTCAGAGTCCCACACTTAAGGGGCCTCAGTAAATGATCCTCCATGTATTGCAAGGTGCAGGAGGCAGACAAACTTCCCTGTCCACACCCTCGATGTGTCTCTCTTAAGCCTTGCATATATTTTACAGCTGAGAGGTGCATAATTATTTAGCTTTTGGTGATACTTTTCTCCGGAAGATGCTTCTGAGAATAATAATGTGATTTGTTGTTTCTCTGAGCTTCATCACAGCAGGCTTTCCAAGTAAAACTAAAATTAGTAATGAGTGTTGGAAACATTGCCAGTGAACATATGAAAGGAAGTCATGCTCATTCATCTAATTTTGGGCTACCAGAACATGCTCTGCCAGGCCTCCTGGGTAAATGGGGAGTCAACCGTGACATCTACCATGTGCAAGTGTCTTCCTGGAGCCAGTCATTCCACGCACATCCTTTCATTTAATTCTCACATTATGAGGTGTAATGTCTTTAATAAGCGCATTTTACAAATAGGAAATTATGGTTCTGTAAGATTAAATGTTCTCCTGGATGATAAAACTAATGAATAGCAGAATCATAACTGAAACTCATATAAGCCCTTTCTGTTGCTGTTACCCACCCCTCCATGATTTGCTTTGCCCACTCTTCCCTGGCAGATGATCTACGTGTGTGAGAGCTGGATGCTGCCTTTTTCTTCTCCATTGCTTTTCTATTGCTCCTGTCCTACTCTTTTTGCTTCATGACTCAATTCATTTTTTTTGCTTTAATTTGTTTTTCTTTTTACTGTATTGAATGATGGAGGCACGACTGGCCAATTCATTGATACTGAGCTATGACAACTACCATCCTTGCTTGAAGAAGTCCTTGCCTCTTTGTAATTCCCATCTGGCTTGACATCAAAGCTGAAAAAGGTTACTGATGACGGTATGAACCTTTTCAGTATGCAAATTTGTAATGGCACAAATGACTTTATATCAGCATGATAGAGTTTTTAACTATTCATTTTTATCACTGCCTATTCAATATGTCAAGCTGTAAAGTAGAATATTTTAATTTACAGGAATGACTCAGATCTTGAAGAATGAATGTGAAAATACTGAGTTCCAAGGTGCAAGCCTTACCTCTAGGCTATGGACTCTGTGTGTGTGTGTGTGTGTGTTTTACTGGGGATTGAACCCAGGGGTACTCTACCACTGAGATACAACCCCAACCTTTTTATTTTTTATTTGAGGCAGGGTCTCACTAAGTTGCCCAGACTGACTTCCTCCTGCCTTGGACTCCCCAGTCTCTGGGATTACAGGTGTGCACCATCACAGCCAGCTTAGGCTATGGAATTCTTTTTTTTTTTAATTTTTTATTGTTGGCTGTTCAAAACATTACATAGTTCTTGATATATCATATTTCACAATTTGATTCAAGTGGGTTATGAGCTCCCATTTTTACCCCATATACAGATTGCAGAATCACATCAGTTACACATCCATTGATTTACATATTGCCATACTAGTGTCTGTTGTATTCTGCTGTCTTTCCTATCCTCTACTATCCCCCCTCCCCTCCCCTCCCCTCCCCTCTTCTCTCTCTGCCCCCTTTACTGACATTCGTTTGTCCCCCTTGTATTATTTTTCCCCTTCCCCTCACTTCCTCTTGTATGTACTTTTGTATACCTCTGAGGGTCTCCTTCCATTTCCATGCATTTTCCCTTCTCTCTCCCTTTCCCTCCCACCTCTCATCCCTGTTTAATGTTAATCTTCTTCTCATGCTCTTCGACCCTACTCTGTTCTTAGCTACTCTCCTTATATCAAAGAAGACATTTGACATTTGTTTTTTAGGGATTGGCTAGCTTCACTTAGCATAATCTGCTCTAATGCCATCCATTTCCTGTTCTTGAAAGGGACTATATCCCAGTTTATACCTGGGGGCTGCCGCTAGTAGGCGCTTCCTGAATAATGAAGACATATTAAATTTTGATGTTCACTATGGTTTTTTTTTAGAATAGAGGAAGCTTTTGATAAATGCTGTTTGACTAGCTTAAAGAATCTTTTGCACTACTAAGAGGCATGTTGGATTATACTTCAGTTTAAATAAGGATAACTAATAAGAATGGTGTTCTTTAAATTATACAAATAAATCTACATATATTGAGTTACTATAAAATAATTACTCTGGTAGTTAGTGATAAAAGCTATAAATAAAAACAAGACAGAAAGTAAAAGAATGGGTAAGTGTTATTTAAAATAGGATGGTCATGTAAAATAGGTGAGTAATATTATAAGGAAAAATATTTGTAATTAAAATTAGCAGAAAATTAGAATCTATACTAATCAAGTGTCATAATTGCACCCATTTGAGCTCAGAGAGTTGAATCTGGCCATCTTTGTTTTTATATTGTGATTTTAGAACCAATAAGATTACTTCATACAAGTCTTTTTCCTAGCTTTTTGTTGAGTAAAATCATTAGTCAGATGTGCCCTGATGCTTTCTTTTCTTCAAGGTTTGGCTCTTAAAACAAGCACATATAATTTGGAACAAGACATCAAAACTATTATTTTTTTAAAAAAAAGAATGTTAAGAGGAACATTTAAAAATGCCAGGGATTTTTAGTTATCATTTGTGATGAATGGCATCACATAAATGCTGTTTTGTAAATTCTTATTGTATGTTTTAATCTAATTTTCAGATGAAGATGATTTGACTAAATGGGTGAAATGTGTAGGTGTTAGAACTTTCTATAAAATTAAATTGAATATTTTGTTGAAATGATGACCAAAAATATGATTTGAAATTCAGATTGGATGAGCACACATTTTTATTTACAGGATTTCACAATGAAACTGGTTTAATTACACGTAGCACATAAACCTATCCACAGCCTTGTATAAGTTGTTATGTAGGGAGCACGATTTTATCACTTTTCACCCACAGTTTGAACTTGAGTCATGAGAGGTCAGGCCTGGTTGCCATCCTCAGGTGTGATCTCATGTCTGGATGTTTCCTTTACAGATGATTCAGTCCCTCAAGGCATTGATTGAAAACGCGGACTCTGTGTATGAAAAGATCGTGCATTGTCAGAAGGCAGGTAAGTGAAAGTTTCTTCTCTTTAAAATAAAATTAATAGCACCATGTTCTTCCCCCAGAACTATGTTATCTTTTTTGATACTTTATCAAGAAAATCAGATAAGAACATCATTTTTCCATGGTTAAAGAAAATACTAATTCACTGGTTCTCAACCGTGGATAACAAAACTAACCTGGGGGGAGCTCAGAATACATCAACATTGGTTCTGGAGTGTGAGCTGGCATTAGATAGCTGTTAAAAATGCCCAGGCATTTCTAATGTGCACCCAAGATTGAGAACCCTGCACTAATCTTGTCTTCAGAGTTACCTGGGCTGCACAGTTACCTAGCTCCTGCCAGTCATCCGTGACTCTCTAATACATAGCAGGATAGTGAGGCTTGAACAGAGAAACGATGCTTCTTAGGAAGTAGAATGGGTGCCAATTAACAACTTTTTAATGCACTGACATTTTTAAGTACTGATAAATTATTAGTTTAATACCCAAATATTAGTCCATGTTATAAAATTCTGCTTATATAGACACCCATCTACAGATGCCTCTTGGCTTAAAAGGGATAACATCCCAATAAACTTATCACAAGTAGAAAATGTACCTGACATCATAGCTTACCAATACAGTGCATTAGAGAGCATTGGTTCTTGACTCTCAGGATTGAGTGGCTGACAGGGAGCTGGGATTGGCTGCAGCTTCCCAGATTAATAAGAAAGTACAGTGCCATGAGTCCAAGAAAATATTCAAATTCAAATTTTGAACTATGGATCCTACTGAATGCATATCACTTTTGCATCCTTGTAAAATTGGAAAATAACCAACTGAACTGTCACAAATTAGTTAGTTTTAGCTGTAGTAAAAAAAAAAATCAAGTACCCTAGATTGCAATAGTAACACATAAAATAGGGTGCTTTGAGTTCTTCACTTTTGAGTGAATGCCAGTTTGGAAGATTCTAATATGAGGAATATTTGTGAGTCTATTAAATAAGGAGATCTGTCCTTGCTTTCCAGGGTTTTTTGGTTGCTATCTTTAAAATCAAGAGACTATACATTTGCGTGGCTGAAAAAAATAGTTATCTCTTATTTCAGAAATGAACAAGTTTAAAATAAATTGAAGAAAAAGATATATGTTAACGATTTTCTCTTTTGGTGTTTATTGAAGGAATATTCATGTTAGTGGCCAATCAACAAACTACAAACTCCTCATCTTGTTTTTCTTATCTTGTGAGCAGAATATTGTTAGCAAAATGATCTTTCTACTTTTAGTTCTTCCCAAGATGATTTTCCCTACAATCTGCAACTAAAACAGTTGCTGTAGACACCATTCTTATCATATCACTACCATGGTCTCTGGCATCACACCTGAGCTCCTAATTTTACATGTAAGGTCATTGACCAACTGGTCTATCATTTTGCCAGTAGTATATAAAATTTATTAATTATGACATCTGTTCATTCATTGAATAAATGTATGAGCTTCTATATGCATAAGGTACTTCATAGCTCCTGCATATAAAAATATGAAAAAGGTCTTTGTATTTTTTATTGCCTTCTAGAACCTTCAAATCAAACAGGAGATATAAAAGTAAATAGTCTATATATTATTAACTGTGTATAACTCAGGAGTCTCAGCCAGGTTTGTGAGGCATGGGGGAGCCATTGATTTTTGAGCAGAACAAGGAGGGACACTGAGCTGTAAGGTAGTGGATGTAATAGCTGTGTACAGAGAAATTTAAAAGACAGAGCCTGATTGGAAGGCTTTTGGCAATAGTTGAGGAAGAGGCCTGTGAGCACAGTAAGGAAGGAAAGGAGGCAATGGTGGGCCATGCCCGGCTCCCCTTTAGGCTGCCCTGCTGCCTTCCCATTCCATGTGTGCTCCTATTTCATTGCGTTTCCACAAGCCACCCCTCTGGTAAGAGTTCTGTCTCTATCCTCTCTGCCACTCTCTAGTACTTTCCTTCTTTAATTTGCTTCATTCTTCCAGGAGACCTTCATGATTCTTGGATTTATGTTACTAAGTCATTCTGTACAATCCTTCAAATAATGTGTTTGCTTCAGTTGAGAGAACTTTGTCAGTTATTGTGTATTTTATTAATGTGTTCCATCTTCTAAATAGGATAATAACTTCCTGTGGCACCAAGATTGTATATTGAGTTACTCCCTGTATTTTATCCGTGACATCTGTTCCAACATTCTGTGCAGAGTAGTGGCTCGAATATTAACTAACTAAATGTGATTTGACTTGTATTAAGTGCTTAATTCTGTTGAGCACATGTGTGAGAAGTGTGAACTTTGTGGAGTTTTTTTGAAAATAACTTTTTTTCAGAAAAAAAAGAATTGATTTATTAATTCATTGGTCACTGTTAATCCTTTACAACTCCATGGGCTTGTGAAATATGATTATTTCTAGTATAATATGGCTTTAGATTGTTCTTCTGTTTGATTTCAGTAAGGGATATATTTGCTTATTGGAGTCTTGTCTAGTAGGGATTTTTCAGGGTGAGTGGGGCAAAGTAGTGGTTCCAATTGCCCTCAGCTTAAAGATCTTTAGAAACTTGTAAAGATTATCTTTTGGTTTCACAGTTATTCTGTAATGCCTTCACAGTCCTTCTGTTACCTCCAGTACCTATTTTAGAGTCCCCTAGTCTTTGTTTCTTATGTTTGCAGTTATTGTAAGGACTTTAGTCATATTTGTATTGAGCTCAAAAGACATTTGCACAAGATTTTACTTTTGATAAATAATTGCTATTCTGCCTACAGACTTTTCATTTTGCAAAGGAATATATAGGTCACCAAAGTGCTTGCAAGAAAGGATAATTTTAGAAGTATTCCTAATGTTGAAACACAAATTTATTTGATAAAACTTTATTTAAGGAATTAAATGTAAATAAGGAGTCAGACACCCACCCCAAAATCACATGCTAAAAAGTGCACCAAGTTTGGGCAGGTTCAGACTCCTGGCTATATAATGGAGTTTTTATGTATATGCCAGTGTTAAGAAAAAGAAAAAAACGGGGCAGGAGAGGCACTTAGCAAGGGAAGACCTTCAGACAGGCTATGCTAGGAACCTGCAGGCCCTAAGAGATAGATTACCAGGAGACATCTAGAGAAAACAGTGGGAACAACTTAGTGATGGACAGTTGGGACATTCTTCTCAGAAATGAAGCTGGTGCACAGAGGAGTGGGGGTAGAAGGGAAATATTAATAAGAAACCCATATTCCTAGGAATATGAAGGATTCAGTGACTAAGAAGAATGATAAAAGATAAGACAGATTGAGAATGGAAGAAGTGGGGTGGACAGGAAGGAAGTACAGCCATGGAACCCTTGACCTTAAGAAGGGGAAGGACCCCCCCTCTTCTTCTGAGGTAATAATAAAATTGTGACATTTAGAGAAATTCTAAGACAGAGAGGAGCATTTTCCACTGGAAAGGTAGACAAGGAAGTAGTCCCCATAGAATGCCAGCTTTGGGGTAAGGGTACAAAAGAGGGGATTCAGGACAGGGGTAAGAATATGGGAGCATTTTTTAAGAGTCAGAGGTGAGGCCAGGCGTGGTGGCTCATGCCTGTAATCCCAGCAGCTGGGAAGGCTGAGCAGGAGGAGCTCAAGTTCAAAGCCAAGCTTAGCAACTTAACAAGGCCCTAAGCCAGTCGGTGAGATCCTGTCTCTAAATACAATATGAAAAAGGACTAGAGATGCAGCTCAGTGGTAAAGCACTCCTGGGTTCAATCCCTGGTACTCCACTCCCACCAAAAAAAAAGTCAGAGGTGAGCAGTGCTAGACTAGATGCAGCAAATAGAAAGGAAGAAAAGGAGTCGTGTACAAATAGTCAGAAATACAGTATTGATCCAGTACAAGGAGACTAATTAAATATTGCATCCTGTAGGAGTGATGTGGGATGAAGGGTTCTGTGCTTCCTGTGAGAAAGATGAATAAGTAATAAATAACACAACTATTCAAGAATGAGTATGTATAAATTAATAACCCAGATAAATACACACACACACACACACACACACACACGTCATTCCCAAGTAGGTAACAGGTAAGGAACACATGAAGAGGAGCCAAACAGGAATCTGCAGAGGATGAGGGATCACAAAAGTTCCTTTTTTAAAGACTTAATAATCAACAATAAGATTTGCCAAATTCTTTCAGGGAAAAATCTTTTCCACTTTCTAATACATATCTTTTTTTCTCTCTTAATGGCCAAAACCATAGCCTCTTTGAATTGTAATTTTTTTTTCCTCTCATCACTAAATTGATCTGCTTCCTGAAGGATAGGAAGACAACCTGGAAGGAAACCTAAGCCACTTTGCTTCACTGAGCTGGGCATTTTTATCAGGTGATTTTAAATGGAAATAAATTGTTCTCCAGAGGAGAATAGAAAGAAATCAATGACACACTTCCTGCTAAAGAATTAACACATGTTTAATTTCCACTTCCTTCTAAAACCTCATTAAAATGACAAGTTTTTTTTAAAGACACAAATCCATAAGGACAAAAACAATGGCAGCAGCAAAACATATATCCACACATTATTATTACTGTGTGTATATATGTGACTGCATGACCAATGTGATTCTGCAACCTGTACACTCAGAAAAATGAGAAATTATATCCCATCTGATTCAAATGTATGATATATCAAAGTCATTGTACTGTCATGTGTAACTAATTAAAACAAATTTTTTAAAAAGACACAAATCCGTAAGGACAAAAACAATGGCAGCAGCAAAACTCTGAAAGCTGAAGAACAGCTGAGCGAGTGATAATTGACTGAATAAGTGATAATTGACTGATTTGCTGAGTCAGGAAAGCTGGCAGTGATAGGGAGGTGTTGAGGGGACTAACCATCAACCTGCTTAGAACAGGGTCATGCCAGGTACTTCTGGAATTGAGGGTAAGATAGGAATAATAAGAGAGCAATCTGAAAGTTGGATTAGGAAGCAATTAGATCCATGTGTCCTGATAGCAGTGAAATTTAAAAGAGCAAAACTCTTAGCTT